CGGAGACTTTTTCAAACCTGCATTGACATCTGAGCTTCTCTCTGCCCAATCCCACTCTCACCTCTTTTGCTTCTCCCAGGCCCCTGCCATCCAGTAAGCATTCACACCCCTCACCCCACCTCAGCATTTGCTCACTGGAGAACTGAGCTGACACATCTAAAGATAGCACCTCCCTCCACCGACACACACAGAGCTCTAAGCCCCAGCCTCCGGGAAAGGTTCGGCCCCCAACACATGCAGAGCTCTAAGCCCCAGCCTCCAGGACGAGGTTCTGCCCCCGACACACACAGAGCTCTAGGCCCCAGCCTCCGGGACAAGGTACGGTCCCCAACACACACAGAGCTCTAAGCCCCAGCCTCCAGGACAAGTTTCTGCCCCCAACACATGCAGAGCTCTAAGCCCCATCCTCTGGGACAAGGTACGGCCCCCTACACACACAGAGCTCTAAGCCCCATCCTCTGGGACAAGGTACGGCCCCCTACACACACAGACTTCTAAGCCCCATCTTCCGGGACAAGGTATGGTCCCCGACACACACAGAGCTCTAAGCCCCATCCTCTGGGACAAGGTACGGCCCCCGACACACACAGAGCTCTAAGCCCCATCTTCCGGGACAAGGTATGGTCCCTGACACACACAGAGCTCTAAGCCCCAGCCTCTGGGACAAGGTATGGTCCCCGACACACACACAGCTCTAAGCCCCATCCTCCGGGACAAGGTATGGTCCCCGACACACGCAGAGCTCTAAGCCCCATCCTCCGGGACAAGGTATGGTCCCTGACACACGCAGAGCTCTAAGCCCCATCCTCCGGGACAAGGTATGGTCCCCGACACACGCAGAGCTCTAAGCCCCAGCCTCCAGGACGAGGTTCTGCCCCCGACACACACAGAGCTCTAAGCCCACCTCCGGGACAAGGTATGGTCCCCGACACACACAGAGCTCTAAGCCCCAGCCTCCAGGACGAGGTTCTGCCCCCGACACACACAGAGCTCTAAGCCCACCTCCGGGACAAGGTATGGTCCCCGACACACACAGAGCTCTAAGCCCCAGCCTCCAGGACGAGGTTCTGCCCCCGACACACACAGAGCTCTAAGCCCGCCTCCGGGACAAGGTATGGTCCCCAACACACACACAGCTCTAAGCCCCATCTTCCGGGACAAGGTATGGTCCCCAACACACACACAGCTCTAAGCCCCAGCCTCCAGGACGAGGTTCTGCCCCCGACACACACAGAGCTCTAAGCCCCATCCTCCGGGACAAGGTATGACCATCTCAGAGCTTGTCCCTGGGCTTCATTTCCAAGTCCGTGAAGTCAGGGCAGTTCTTCCTCCAGCGCCTGCTCTCCCGTGAACTTGGTTTTCTTCCTAGATGCAGTTATGGCATCACCAGAACATCCCCACAATCCCACACCCAAGCAGTGCCAGGCTTCCTGCAGGAAACAGCCGGCATCTAAGTCCGAGGCACATCACCAGCCCCCAGACGAGTGTAGGTGGTGAAACGTGAGGGATGAACGAATGATATTCATTGAATGAATGATGCGTACTGTTACAGGAGGGACGAAGGGGATATTTCTGCTTCAAATGCCTGCCCAGGCCTCTCCTGCCCTCCATCAAACCACAGCTTGCGTTAAGCTGCATCTCCTCACAGGAAGAACTGGCCCCAAGAGAAGGCGCAGCCTGGGGAGGTGGTGAGCGCTTCATATTCTCGGAGCGGCCAGACCCATTTTGGTCTTTTTTGGATAAAGACCAAAAGTGTAGGTCCCTTCAACTCAGAAGCCCCGAAAGCAAACACTGCCTGCATCCAGACAGAAATGTGGGGGACTCTGGCAGGGGAATCCTGGAGCAGCGACTCCGCCAGCCAGGTGGGTTCCCCACCTTGTCCTGGCCTGGCCTCCCCCATACAGGCCGAGGCCACTCTGTGGCCCCAGCCCCCTTTCCACTCCACCGCAGAACCTCACCACCATGGAGCCCTGAGCTGGGAGCCTTGAAGGCAGTGAGTGCACGATTCTGAGAGGGGCTGGAGGACTGGAGGAGGCGAGGGCGGCGCACGCCGCAGGGATGAGACAGGCAGGAAGCCAGGCAGGCTCCGAATGAGTAACTGCAGATTCTCTTTGTGCCATGCCAGTTGTCACAGGGGATGGCGAGTGACTCCACTTCTCTCTCTTTCCCGCCACCTCCCACATCCTTGGCACCCATGATTCTGACATCCAGAAGGGATATGAGAGCTTGGGGCTAGACACTAGGGACAGGTTTTAGGGATCCTGGAGTGGAGAGTTCAGAACAGAGCACCCCAGGGAGAATCCATGCAAGAAGAGCATGGGGGAACAGAGAGTAGGAGGTGACTGTGGCCCTCCCCCTTAAGCCTGGACTGGGAAGGCAAGGCAGAATCCAGAGGGGCTCAGGCTTTGGACAGGGTGGGGAGATGGGGTGCACAGGCTTCCCACTCTCTCAGGTAGTCCGTCAGCCCCACCTCTGTTCTGACATCCCTCTTCCTCCAAGAAGCCCTCCCAGACCACCTGGGTGCACAAAAGGATGGCTCCCTCAGCAGATTTCATGGGACTCCCCAAGAGTGGGACACGGTTGACTCCCCTTCCCCCCAGTGCCTCAGAACACAGGATAGGACATTCGGGAGCAATTAGTTGAAACGTGGTCACATTTAATGATGGTTGAATTTTTTAGGCTTTCTTTTGGTTTTGCTATTTTCTTTCCACTCTTCACTTCTGAATACGCTTTGTGCCCTTTGATAGGTAAGGAAGGGTGGATCCCCCAGGGGAACAATTCTGAAAGAACAAAGAAGTGATTTTTATTGCAAAGAATCTGCAAGGAAACAATTATTTGATTCACCTGCTCCCTTCTGGGAAGCGAGTCCTGCAAAGGCAGCAGGAGGCCTTCCCAGCCACTCACTGCCTCCAGCCTGGCCATCCACCCCTCCAACAGAGGAGAGGTAGTGTGGGCCCCTCCAGAGCCAGGAGAAGGCAGCCCATCCCCAGTGGCAGCCAGTCCTCTCCCTCCCTCCTCATCCTGCCCACCAGCCACGCATTGGGGGGGGGGTCACGTGGCAAAGTGAGCTCTGCCTCTCCAATCCTCACCCCCATCATATACCCTCAAGTGTCCAAGAAACTTGTCCTCCAGGAGAGCAGGAGAACTTCAACAACCATAGGGGGATAGCACATTAATGGTGGGGTTTCAGCACCCGCAGTTAGCTAGCCGCTGTGTGTGTGTGTGTGTGTGTGTGTGTGTGTGTGTGTGTGTTTTGAGGGGTGGGTGCTGAGGATTCATGGGAGCCCAAACCCACAGATTTGCTCTTCACATCTAGGGCTTCCAGGACACCATGCCAGCAGAAGTAACTCCCCAGAAAAAAGACACAATTCCACTGTCCTGCCAGGGAACTGAGGCCTGAAACGGGGTACACAGGGTCATAAGGAGACATAAAGACCCCTAGTTTCTGAGCCAGCAGCAGCCCTCAGGGGTGTGGACAGCTGAGGATCTGGCTGAGGGCCATTCAAACACTGCCACAACTGGGAGAATGGTACAAACCCAAGAAAGGCGAGGACAGAGCCACCTCCACCGTTCCCAAACGTAAGGAAGGGCCTGTGTCCAGGCTCACTGATTATATCGGGAAGGAGGCAGAAACCGCAGGGAGTACAGTGGCTCCCAATTTCCCCTCTGGCAAGGGGATGCCCCCTCCACCTCTGTGCACGCAGTGCACAGCACAGGGCCTGGCACACAGAAAGCGATTAATAAATGTGCAAGGAGGAAAGGAGGGAGGCATGGGGGAGAGAGGAGAGCGAGGCAAGGAAAAAAGAGCACGTGTGGGGGATGGAACGATGGAAGGAAGAAAGGGGAGGAATACGAGAGTAGACGAAAGTGTAGTCACACCCGCCGAGGGCCGGGGCGCCCATCCCCACCCGGCTTTCCCCCACTCCCCTCAGGCCCACCCCAGCGCAGCAGCTGCAGGGAGGGAAGCCCTGGTGGGTCCTCAGGGAGAGCCCGCACGCCTGCTGTTCAGCCAGAGCCTGGCGCTTGACCCCCTTCAGGGAGCCGCCCTCCTGCTCGGGCGCTGGGACCCGCTGCAGTCCCCGCCTCTCCACGGAACGCCGCCCCTCCGCCCGACGCCCCGCTCCGACACCCCCTATCCTGCCGCCTCGACCGCCACGTCCAGCCTCGACCGTGCAGGCTCGAGCCGGCAGAAAGATGGCCAGCAGCCACCTGCGCTCGGTCCGCAAGAAGACGCGCCCCCAGGACGCAGAGCTGGGAACCCCGCTCCCCCATTCCAGGGACGAGTAAGAGGAGAGGGGCTGTCCCCGTGGAAGCCCAGCGCCAGGCGCAGCGGCCCGGGTCCCGGCCCCTCTCGGATCCCAGAATCCCCAGCTGTGAAACGGGGAATGCGGGAGGAGGTCGGGGTCTGTGGTTCCTTCTGGGTCCGCTGCGGAGCTGGCCGCGGGCTGGAGCAGGCCTGGCCCCCACGCGAGGGCGCTGGAACCTCAGCCCGGCCTCCCCGGGGAGGTGCCCGCCCAACCCCGCGGGTGCGGACACGCCTCCTCCGGGGAGCAGGTGCCCGGGGCTCGAAGGGCGCCCCGCAGGTCGGCGGGAAGGGAGAGCCGGGGACCCAGGGTCGGGCCTCCGTCGCGCCCTGACGTCCCTCGCCGGCCGCCTCTGAGCCCCGGAGGAGTCGGTGCTGCTGGAAACGGACCGCACCGCCCGACCTCGGTCAGCCCCGGCCAAGCGCTCGCCCCGGGCGCGCCGGGAAAGCAGCGGCGCTTCCGTCTGGCGATCCGGCCGCGCGCACCGGCCTCGCGAGGCGCACGGGTGGGAAAGGGGAGGCCGGCGGCGGCTCCGCGGGGCGCGGCTCCGGGCGGGTGGTCCGAGGGGAAGCGCGGGCGCCGTGGGGCGGAGGCTCCCGGGTGCTCAGCCCGCGCTGCGGGTCGGCTCGGGGCGCGCGGAGCTCCCTCGCTCGCTGGTCCCCGGCCCCGCCCACACCTGCGCGGCGGCCCCGCCTCCGCCCGCCCATTGGCTACACCCGCCACCCGTCAGACGAGCCCCCGGGGCCCGCCCCCAGCCGAGCGGCGCCTCTTAGCGCCCGGCCAGCGCGGAGCCGCTCACTCCCCGGGCGCCGCCACCGCACGCCGCGGGCTCGGGGCCCACCATGCGCCCGCCACGTCCGCTGCCGGCCCGCTGGCTGTGCGTGCTGGCAGGTGCCCTCGCCTGCGCCCTCGGCCCGGCGGTGAGTGCGCGCCCCGCCGCCCAGATCCCAGAGGCCGGGGCTGAGGGTGGGGCGCTGAGGGTGGGGGGGGTGGGGTGTGGGCGCTGAGGGTAGGGGCACTGAGGGTGGGGAGCTGAGGGTAGGGGCTGAGGTTGGGGGCGCTGAGGGTGGGGGAGCTGAGGGTGGGGCGCTGAGGGTAGGGGCTGAGGTTGGGGGGCACTGAGGGTGGGGGAGCTGAGGGTGGGGCGCTGAGGGTGGGGGTGTGCGGTGTGGGCGCTTAGGGTGGGCGCTGAGGGTGGGGGGGCCGGGGAGGGGGTAAGGGGGTGGCGGGAGCCGGGCCGTCTGCACGTGTCTGTGTGAGAGGAATAGGGGACACCAAGCACCTAGTCTCACCTCCTCCCACAGCCCCAGACGGAATCTAGACTTGAAGGTTGGGGTATTGGTCGTGCCCAGCCCCTCCCAGAGCAGCCTGGGACTGGCTCGGCTTCACTGAGGGACAGCGGGGAACAGCGGGGAACAGCGGAGAACAGCGGGCCCCAGACTTGCCTTCCCTGTAGTGGTTGCGGGTGTGCAGTGGGGTGGGGCAGCCAGTGGCTGCAGGGTCAGGTACTGTGGCCGATTGAGATAGAAGGTCTGGTACACCCCAGGTGGAAGAGAGGATGTGAGGGTCATCCTCGTGTGCAGTGCCCGTCTGGAGGTGTCTGTGGGGTGTCAACAGCAGAACCAGTGCTGGGGGCCTCAGGACGCGAGAAGGGGTTCTTGGGATCAGATGAGTGACAGGCACACCCCTCCCTGTGCCCTCCCACCGAGCAGAGCAAAAAGGTACCAGAGCCCAAGGTGGAAGCCAGTGGGCAGTGAGGGGCTGGGGTGGTGTTTGACAGGAGAAGCCAGGCCTGTGCGAAGGCAGAACTGAGCAGGAGCCACTGCCCCCTTCCTCCCCACCTCTGCCTCCTCTCAACATGGGCACGTGTACGCCCCTGATACGTGTGTGCCCATGTGCCCCATGTGTGGGTGTGCTGTGTGTGTCTTTGGATGGCTTACCTGGTCCATGAGGCAGATGTTGATTGAGGCAAGAGATGCATGGGTCGTCTCACTCTAGAACAGGGAGGACCCCAGCGCCCACTGAGTCCACGGAAGCCCATTTCACAGATGGGCAAAGTGAGGTCCAGAGACACAAGAGCCACATCTTGTCTCCCACCAGTCAGACCTAGGCAGAGGCCAATTTTCTCCCCACCCTAGACCTTGAGTAATCTAGACTTGCTGCCTAGGCAGGGCCTTAAATGCCCACTCCAAGTTGGCTGGGAGAGGGTGAGGAATCTTGATTCTAGTTCATTCTAGCCCATGGTCACTTCCCTTACTATCACCCCCACCAGAGCAGGGATTTCTGTTTCCATCTAGCAGATGTCTTGAGCACCCTGGGAAGGGAGGCTCACTGCCCGTCCTAGGACCAGACCTCTGACAATTGGCAGACCCTCACTCCGCCCATGACAGCCATGAGACCCACGTCCTGAGCACTCAAAGCCTTACCAAGCTCTGTTCCCGAGGCCTCAGCTCTGACACAGCTTGCATGAAGCCTCCAGCCCTCACCAGCAGCTCTGGCCCTCTCAACCCAGGCTTCAAGCTGCTCAAACTGCTCTTGGGATCCTAGGACCACTGCTGACACCCCATTCCTCCATGCTAGGTGGCTTCTGAGCCCAGGGGCAGAGTGGATTCAGAGAGGCCTCCTTTCACACCAGGCCACTTCGCTTTGGACTTCCTGAGACAGCCCAATTCTGGCTCCTCCCTCCAATGGCTACCCTCCCCTGTCTTTCCACAACTTACTCCTTTAGTGCCCAACTCCATCTCCTCCAGGAAGTCTTCCCTGATTGCTGTAGCCAACTCAGCCCCACCCTTCAGCCCTACCCTACCTCCCAGGCTGGGCTATTCTGGACATCCTAGGAGGTCAGGGGCTGGGGTCTCTCACACCCCCTGTTCCTTACAGCCCAGTGCATGGGCTGGGCCCACAGAGAAAGGAGAAGGAACTCAACCAGGACTGGGTGAGGGCAGGCTGGAGTGAAGGGTCCCTATTTCCCTCCCTGCTTCTCCCTCCTCCCCACCAGCTACCAGTCACTTCCTCATGGAATGGACACCAGGCAGTCTTGCTCTAGCTGGACTCGGTGTGCCGGGGGGAGGGAGGGTACCAGGAGTTATCAGAGTCATAAAATGGCAGCTGCAAAGTTCAGGCTGAAGCCCAAAGCCTTATCACCCCTGTTTATGGGGCCCTGACTTCAGCCTGGGAAGGGGAAGTCTCTGAACAGAGAGGCAAAAAAAAAAAAAGGAAAGAAAACCTCCAGTGTCTCAGAGGAGGAAGTCTGCCCCACAGCCACCTGTCAAGCTTCCACTGCCCCTGCCCCTGCCCCCCAGACAGCAGGCACAGGGACTCCTCATCCAGCAGCAGAGCTGCTCAGGGCAATGCCCAGCACGAGGCTAGTCCCAGCTTCTCGGAGGCTGAGGCAGGAGAATCGCTTGAACCCAGGAGGCGGAGGTTGCGGTGAACCAAGATTGCACCACTGCACTCGCAGCTTGGCAACAGAGCGAGATTCTGTCTCAAGAAAAAAAAAAACTATTTCTGAAGAAGAAAAAAAAACAGTTTACTCTCTCCACCACGTGTATAGTGTTTTAAATTTTTACTTTTATTGTGACTAAGCAGAGAGAATATTATAATGAACGCCCAAGTACCCAATTCCTGGGTTTGACAGTTGTTAACATCTAACAATTAATATAGGCTTCATTTGCTTTTTGGCTGAAGTATTTTAAGTTATAGACCTCCTGACCTTTTACCCCAAATAATTTCAGAATGCATATCTAAAACCAAAGGACATTCTTTTATATAACGATGAGACTGTCATTACCCCTAACAAAACTGACAGGAATGTTTAAAACTCAAATATCCCCAGCCGGAAGGTGATGCGGCACCACGGACCGGCGCTGACACTACCCAGGGCCCAGCTTCTTGCGGAGTTTCGCGTCTGTGTCTGGCAGGGCCATCCTGCGAGCTGGCAGGGAGAAAGCAGGGTGCCTCGGCAGTAAGCATCAGGCTGGGCCCCCGGGCAGGACCCAGTCCTTCCGTGCAGCCCCTCTCATGACGGGCAGGACCCAGTCTTTCCGTGCAGCCCCTCTCATGACGGGCAGGACCCAGTCTTTCCGTGCAGCCCCTCTCATGACGGGCAGGACCCAGTCTTTCCGTGCAGCCCCTCTCATGACGGGCAGGACCCAGTCTTTCCGTGCAGCCCCTCTCATGACGGGCAGGACCCAGTCTTTCCGTGCAGCCCCTCTCATGACGGGCAGGACCCAGTCTTTCCGTGCAGCCCCTCTCATGACGGGCAGGACCCAGTCTTTCCGTGCAGCCCCTCTCATGACGGGCAGGACCCAGTCTTTCCGTGCAGCCCCTCTCATGACGGGCAGGACCCAGTCTTTCCGTGCAGCCCCTCTCATGACGGGCAGGACCCAGTCTTTCCGTGCAGCCCCTCTCATGACGGGCAGGACCCAGTCTTTCCGTGCAGCCCCTCTCATGACGGGCAGGACCCAGTCTTTCCGTGCAGCCCCTCTCATGACGGGCAGGACCCAGTCTTTCCGTGCAGCCCCTCTCATGACGGGCAGGACCCAGTCTTTCCGTGCAGCCCCTCTCATGACGGGCAGGACCCAGTCTTTCCGTGCAGCCCCTCTCATGACGGGCAGGACCCAGTCTTTCCGTGCAGCCCCTCTCATGACGGGCAGGACCCAGTCTTTCCGTGCAGCCCCTCTCATGACGGGCAGGACCCAGTCTTTCCGTGCAGCCCCTCTCATGTGGCCCATATCTCTCAGGAAGTACCTCCTACTACCGAACTTCAGAACAAGTTCTTCCTGCGCAGCATGTCACCAGAAGAGGGGGAAGAGGCCACCAAGCAACCTCCATGTTCTAAGGACTCAGCCTTGTGGCTACCTGTGCGGGAGCCCAGCCCTCTGCAGGAGGCTCCAGCATCACCCAAGGGACTGTTTATAAGCTGAGTCCTGCCAACTCCAATTCCCTAGGTGTGGCCAGGGTCACGATCAAGCAGCAGAGGGTTTAAGTTAAACGCTTAGTCTGTGTCTGCTACACCTGTTTCTTTAGCTGTCGTCGCACAGATCCCCTGCAAATAGAGGAAGCTGCCCCAAAGGAAACCTCCGCAGAGGAGCCCTTAGATGGGAACAGGCTAAATGTCTCTGCCTGGGTTCTGCTGGCTAGGAGAGCCCTTGTCCTGATACCACTCTGAGAGGTGGGAAGTTCTTCCCACCCCAAACCCGATCCTGTACCCCTGCGTCTCCCCGCGCCCCCATCTCCCTCAGCACTCACACAGCAGTTCTCTTTCTACTCTTCTACCAGAGCTCAGCCTTCCCCAAGAGGAGGTGTGGCTGGCAAAAAAAAAAAAAAGTGGGTTTGCAGTGGGGAGGCTTTGGGCTGTTGGTAAAGGGGTGTAGAAATGCAAGGAAGAGAAGAGAAATCAGTAAGGGTGAAGGTAACTGGCAGACTCGAGGCTTGTGGTGGGTGCGGCTGGCACTTGTGAGTGGGTAGGACCTTCAGCCTGCCGGGGTTGTGCAAGGCACCATGGCTGTGGCTAGGCTTGGGTGTGGACAGCAGGGGCAGCCTGGCACAAAGGTGGACGAGAGCTTTGGCAATCACTGCTAAGCCACTGGCCAGCCCTGGTGCCTGGCTGGTGTCTTTTACATGTGACCCTCAACCTCAATTCTAGAAGCAGGTGTTACTGTTCCTGTCCCCATTTTATAGATGAGGTTGAGTAAACTGCCCAAGTCATCCAGCCAGGAAGTGGCAGACAATCTCATTCTGGAACCTGGGGTCTGAACTAGGCTCTGTCACCTCATGAAGTGGGGCTACGGCTTCCATGGAGGGGTATGGCATGTCGCATGCCACCCTGGGACTTTAGATACTTTTAAAATTAGTAAAATGTACACATCTGAATCAATAGCACAGTGAATTGTCACATATGTGTACACCTGTGTCACCA